CACTTAACAGGGAGCTAGCTAGCTTTGTCCTTCGTTATTCACCAGCCACACACGCGGAGTTTTCCTACCGTGACGTTAGGTACTGTTTTCATAAAAGTACTAGTGTCCGAAGAGAATCCACTGAAGTCGAATGATTTGTAATGTTCGAACTTTGTAAATGATCCTGGAGAAATATCTGAAGCTTTCCGATTGATAAGCGGTATAACAATCACAGTTATAGCTTCCGAAGTTTATAGCACATTGACAATAGCAAACTAATAATAGATATTTTTTTGGCGCGTCGCGTTGGTTATATTATAGACGTGTGGAGGCTTTCTCGAAATTTCAGTTTTACGTAACAAAACTGACGCTAACACGTATACACATATATTGTTGATTCTTGCTCTCAATAATCTTCTACAACTTTGGAAAATAGGCAGGAGTTTCGCAATACATATTTAATAGTATAAGTTATGTATATTTCTAAATATAAATTTAATCTAAAGAAACGTCGATATTAAAATAAACATATAATAACAAATCCGTCACAAAATATACAGAATAATGTAAGCTTTAACTTACAACTCTTACTGATTATATTTATAAATTTTAAGGTCTATGTTTAATGGTAGAATTATCTTATCATGGTTAGATATCATTCAATTAACACTATATAAAATTTCGACGTACAAATTCCCTAGTGGTCAATGAACATAACTAGTATTAGGTAAGAGTTGGAACTCGCGAACTTCTCCAAGTGAATACATGAAAATAAAAATCTTATAAGCATGAAAAAATGAAAACAAATTCTCCTTTTTTTTAAGATAATAACAAAAAGTTATGCTCACTGCTTCTTCGTCTTGATTAAAATTTGTATAAAAATATGACTGAAAGACCCCAAGATACAAACAAAAACTTTTATTAAGACTATAATTTTTACAAAATGTTAATAGTTCTAACGTAGCTAACATGGCAGGTATTGATACATTGCTCCGTCAAACTGTATTGAAACTGACAAATAAAATTATTCGAACTGTATATATTAACAGAAATTCGGAGTAAACGTAAAATGTAACTTTTTAAAAAAATATAATATAGCTAGCCTAATTGTATTTTATTTTGCAGGGGCGTAGGAGCTGGGGAAGGGGACATGTGCCCACACTAATTTCTAAACAATACACTATGTAAAACATATAAAAAACATTATTATTACTGTGTGGGTATTTTAAAGCCAAAGAAATATTATAGATGGTAGTATTACATTTGGTTGGTCTAAACACATAATAATGTGTAATAAATTTCATTCTACTTAAAGAAGACATTAATAATTTGTGTTCATTTATAAAACCAAACTACTACTGACTGTGTTATGGGTCACGAATAA